TGTATTGTTTAGTTTATATACTGTGTGTGTGTGTGATATATATGTGTGTGTGTGTGCATGATATATATGTGTGTGTGCGCGTGATATATGTGTGTGTGTGATAGATGTGTGTGTGTGTGTACGTGTGTGTATGATATATATGTGTGTGTGTGTGTGTGTGTGCGTGTGTGTGATATATGTGTGTGTGTGAGTGTGTGTGATATATGTGTGTGCGTGTGTGATATGTGTGTGTGTGTACGTGCGTGTGTGTGTGTCAGTGTGTGTGATATATGTGTGTGTGTGAGTGTGTGTGTGATATATATGTGTGTGTGTGCATGTGTGTATGATATATATGTGTGTGTGTGTGTGTGTGTGTGTGTGCATGTGTGAGTGTGTGTGTGTGCGCGTGCGTGCGTGTGTGAGTGTGTGTGTGCGTGTGTGAGTGAGATATATGTGTGTGTGTGTGTGAGTGTGTGTGATATATATGTGCATGCGTGTGTGTGGGTGTGTGTGTTTGTGTGTGTGTGTGTGTGTGTGCGTGTGTGTGCACGTGCGAGTGTGAGTGTGTGGGTGTGTGTGTTTGTGTGTGTGTGTGTGCGTGTGCGTGCGTGTGTGCGTGCGTGTGCGAGTGTGTGTGAGTGTGTGTGTGTGTGTGTGTGTGAGTGTGTGTGTGTGTGTGTGGATGTGTGTGTGTGAGAGTGTGTGTGTGTGTGTGTGTGTGTGGAGCACATGAGCATGGCTTGGTTCACATGTGTTTGTGGAAAAGGGTCATATGCATTTAAAGGGATCTGTGCAGGAAACCACATGTATCATTCATTTTTACATTAGAGCGGAGAATCCCTCGCCCATCACACACATGAGCCACATTTCATTACAGAGAAAGCTCTGAGGTCCAGACAGCAGCTCACAGTACACACACACATACACAGTATATGTGTGTGTGTGTGTGTGTGTGTGTGTGTGTGCGTGTGTATGCAAGTGGGAATTTGTCACATTTGTCACAATAATAGCTCATAATACAATAACTTACCCTTATGTAACAAATAACCCTATGTCCTGTCAATCATCTGTTTTCCTTATGACCTCTTGTATATAGCTGAGACATATTTGTATTAGTTTATTTCGTTTTACTTGTACATACACATTTATATAATTGTGCCTTATTTTACAGTAGCATCTTGCTATTTCTGTTCCTTATTTAGAAGTTATTATACCATTTCTCTTATTATAATATTAATAGCTAAAGAGGCAAAAAGAGGAATGATGACTCAGTCGGGACACAGAAAAGGGAGTGCCAGAAGGACAAGCGTAAATGGCACAAGTCAAACTCCAGGTTCATTATGAGATTTACAGAGAAAAGATGCACATTTACAACCACAGCTTGGGTAGAAGAAGAGAGAGGGACTTTTTGGATGCAGTAACAACTGTTTACAACAGTGAACAGATCAACAAACCCTCCAACTCCACTGCCGTTAACAACAACAAATTTTCACATCCGAGTGATATGAATTTGCAGTATTCTTTAATGACAAGGCTTTGGGCATCAAAAATGCCATCAATTTCACAACAGAAATAATAAGCATGCAACCACAGAGTCACTTGGCACCTGTAACTGACTAAACTGTCTTAGAGATCATCACCAGTCACCAGAGTTCATCTACATGCTTCCTCGACATGTTACCCACTAGATTTGTAAAGTCCATCCTCAACAGTTTGCCTTCACTACTCACCCACTTCATATAGTTAACATGTCACTTCAATCTGGAACATTCCCAAGAGCTTTGAAAACTGCGCTCATTAAGACTCTCCTAAAGAAGAGCCACGGTACTGAACAATTTCCAACCAAGCTCAAATCTGCAGATTTTTCCAGTCAGGTTTTAGAGCCACCACAGCACTGAGACTGCTCTTATCAAGGTGACAAATGACATCGGCCTGAACACTGATGCAGGCAAAGTCTCAGTGTTGATCCTGTTAGATCTGAGTGCTGCTTTTGACACTGTTGATCATGGGATCCTCTTACAGAGACTAGAGGACTGGGAGGGATGGGATGGGATCTGAGGTACTGCACTAAACTGGTTCAAGTCCTATCTAGAAAACAGGAAGTACTTTGTTGAAATTGGAAACTGTGTCTCAGATCACATGTCCCTGACCTGTGGGGTGCCCCAGGGGTCAATCTTGGGCCCCCTTTTGTTCAATCTCTACATGCTGCCCCTATGTCTATGTCTCACTGCAGCAGGAGACTATGGACCAGTGGACTCACTCTGCCACTGTGTCCTACAGATCAATGTGTGGATGCAAAACAACTTTCTCCGGCTAAACTCAGACAAGACACAAGTCGTAGTGTTTGAGACAGTGTCAGCAGTCACCTTCAGTCTCTCTCTAAAACCTTCAAATCAGGCAGGAAATCTTGGTGTAATAATGAACTCAGACTTGAACTTTAACAGCCACATCAAATCAGTAACATCTGCAGCCTTTTACCATCTAAAAACAGAGCAAAGGAAGACTATTGTAACGGCCTCTCACTGGCCTCTCCAAACGAGCTGTGAGACGCTGCAGAACATCCAGAACGCTGCAGCTCAGATCCTGACTCGAACCAGGAAGTCCGAGCACATGCGTCCTATGCTCAGGTCTCTGCACTGCCCCCTGTGGCTCAAAGACTTTAAAGCAGCTTTGTTTGTCTTCCAGAAGATGTGAGACAGACCTTTAGTTTGATGCTGGTTAATTCCAGGCTCATAACAGTTTTGTTTAGCTGCATACTGTATGACTGAAAGATTTTCACTCCGCACTCTTCTCTCTCGTTTAATCTCACTCTTTCTTTTTAATTTTATAATTTGGGTTATGATTTGATTTATGTTTTGATTTGTTTGTATTGTGATTTGAATGTCTTTTGTATTTTGTAAAGCACATTGAATTACTTTCTGTTCGAATTGTGCTATACTAATAAACTTGCCTTGCCTTATAATATGCTGTGAGCTTTGTCTAAATAATATCTATTTTGGATCAATAAAGTTTGTCTAAATCTATTTCTAATAATACATTTTATTTATATAATGCTTTTCTAATCAGTCAGAGTCTCACTTTTTGCTGTGGCTGTGCAAAGCCACACAACAATTAATCTTCTAAACATGACGAGAAACAGGGCCGTTGGACTGGGGGCAAAGGGTACTGTTTACCTTTGAGGAAGGAAAGGTTCAGTTCAACTGTGTCTGATGCCAATCTGTCATCTGTAGTCTGCAGTGTCCCTGTGCTTGAACTCTTCTCTGGTTTTCTACTGTTCACTTAATTTTCTTGTTTTAGACATCAAGGTCAAACAAAGAGTTGTAGACTTTTGTATTTGTCATTAAAATGTAGCAGCTCTATCACATTTTAGGACAAAATGTCATTCCTCACATTGACACATAAATAACTCATCCTAAAAACATGTATGTTATGTATGTTATGATGTTATCGGCATAACCTTTATACCTATTTAGAATACACATTTTAAAGACCAGTGCTTTTCCACCTCCAAGTCACTCAAAGCACTTTACATAAAGGAACCACTCACCCATTTACACACACACACTCACACACACTGGGAACAGAACAGAACCATTATGCATGATTTTATAGAAGTCTGAAGTCTGGCTGTAAATCTCTGGTTTGAAGGGCCTCACATGTTGTCTCTGCTCACTAATAATAATAAAATAAATAAAAGAAACAAGATGAATAACAACTGTAAATTTTATTTAAAATAAAGTAGAATCCAAACAAAAATAGAAGTCCTGGTTGGCCTACAATAATACTGTACAATAATACTGACATGGAGCACAGAGGCCTGCTCCTTGAACAGATGAGAGGCTCTGATCTACAGCTACAGCACAGCCTCCCACTCCTGTTCTAACAGGGACACATTATGGCACAGTCATCAAACACTTACTGACACATTGTCTTCATTCTAAGGCATGTTCAGCTCTATCAAGGACCACCCAGGTCCATCCCAGACTACCCTGAACTACTCTGGACTACCCCAGGTCCATACCGGTCTACACTGAATTACTCTGGACTACCCCAGGTCCACCCCGGTCTACCATGAACTACTCTGGACTACCCCAGGTCCATACCGGTCTACACTGAATTACTCTGGACTACCCCAGGTCCACCCCGGTCTACCATGAACTACTCTGGACTACCCCAGGTCCATACCGGACTACACTGAATTACTCTGGACTATCCAAATCCACCACAGGACTACCCTGGACTACCCCAGGACTACCTGGGACTACCTGAGGAGTACCCTGGACTAGCACAAGGACAATCTGAATGTGAGGTTCAGTGAGGCAGTGACAAAAGCTGTGGACAGACCCACACACACAATCATAAGACACATTCACAGAAACAGTTTTACATCACTGTGATCTTTGGCACGGCAGCAGAACCCATGGAGCCTGCTCACTCATTCAGATTTATACACAGAGGAGGGAGGGGAAATAGGGGACATAGGGGACAGGACGGACAGAGGGGACAGAAGGACAGGACAGGAAGAATAGAAAAGACAGGTGGGAAGGTGGGAGAGAAGGGACATGAGCTACACGGAGGACGTAAGGTACAGAGGGACATGATGGACAGTCCTACAGACACTGGAGACGCATGTGCTTCTCTAGTACCTTCCCAGCACTCGTATGAGACTAATGAACAGCTGCTTAATGCTAGATGTAAACTGTATGAAAATAACCTTTAACAACATGATTAAACTTACATGACTAGTCAAAAGTTCGGACACGTCCTCTCATTCAATGTTTTTTATATATATCTATATATATAGATAGATAAATATATGTATATCTATATATATATCTATATATCTATATATCTATATATATATATATATATATATATATATATATATATATATATATATATATATATTTACTACTTTATACATCTTATATACACACAAAAGACATCAAATATATGGAATTATGCAGTAGAGAAAAAAAAGTTACTTTTTTTTTTACATTTTATATTCAAAACTTCAAAGTATCCACCTTTTGTTTTGTCGACAGCACTGCAAGCCCTTGGCTTTCTGCAGTGAGCTTTATGACGTCTCCATTTCACAGCTGGGCCATGTCAGTTTTAGTCTTTTTTTGTTTGTTTGCTCCACTCAGTACTTGCACACTCATGGTTTTAATGCCTTCAGTGATGATCTACAGTGTAAATAATCATGTAAACAAAGAAAAAAACAGAAGAACAAGAAAAATTGTGTCCAAACTTTTGACTGGTTGTCTACGAGAGTGGTTACTGTTTTAGTCTGAATATGGTTTACTTAGACCTGGTTGGCACAGTAAGGCTGAGTGGGTACTAGTGGATTCTAGGAGCACTGTAGTGTGTAAACCACACAAAGACCCTGGGCTCCTGAGTCCCGCCACAGGCTCTTACAGTTCCAGCCTCAGTGCTAACACAAAAAGGTCCAGAGGGCATCTGACTCTTTAAAGGCTTCTGGTGTGAGTGCTGCCCTGTGCTGTTGGCTCAGCTCCAGTGCTGAGTCCACACTGGCCCCCACACAGCAGGCTTCAGTCTAGGGGCCTGACAGCTTTGACCCCAGGGGACCGTGCCTCTGTCCCTGCAGAGGGTCCGGCTCCTGCCCTGGAGGTGAGATGGGCGTGTTCTGGAGGAGTCCTATTGTGTGAGTGGACTGCAGGACGACAGTGAAGGGGGGCCCAGGAGCCTTCTCAGGGGCCGTTCTCATTGTAGTGTAGGGAGAGAGGCCGCTCTCTCTGCACCGGGGGCATGTAGGGCCAGTTATAGCTGGAGCCGGACAGCAGCATGTCCCTGAGTAGGGTCTCTATGGGGGTCTTTCCCACCAGGCGCACAAAAAAGAGCTGCTCGATGACTGGTGAGGACACGATGCGCAGAGAAGGCAGCCGCAGCAGCAGCCGGCCAAAGCGGTTGGGCTGGTTGGGGTACTGATTCCTCACATACTCCTCCAGAGCACACTGGGACTTCTCCTGAATGCTCTCCACATGAGCCACGTCCGACAGCCCCATGGCATCTGCACACATGGCAAAGGGCAGAAGATCAGGACTCCACATGTTTATCACATGTACACAAAGCTCATAGAAATGTAACAGGAGAAAAGACACAAGGACATGGACTACAGAAATCTTTATTCAAAATTCTGCTATGATTTATGCTTTCACCTTTAGGTTTTCCTAAAGACTTTACCACCTGAAAAATACAATGTACATGGTGTGATCTATATAAAGAAACTTGGGCATATTTCCCCCAAAAACAAAGGTACTTTGTGCTGTGTGCACATACTGTGTGAGCCCACCAGGGTACAGACACAGATGCATCCAGAACAGAAAGGCATTATATTACACCACCCGGCCGGCCTGGAGAAGAAAACACATTCTGACCATTGACTGTGTGCATTTTTTTGCCCAAGGACACAATGGCAGTGTGCATTGGTCAGAGGTAGTTGGTAGTTCATGAAATGAACAGTCCCTTTAACCACTGTGCCACTGGGGCCTGTGTGTTTGAGTGTGAAGTGCCAAATCTGCCCTGGGCACTCAGGGTTATGCAGGTCAGAACTACCAGTGTGAAACCCTGATTCTGCTCCCTGTCCCATGCATAATGCAGAGCAGCAGGCTCAAGTGAGGGGCAGAGGGGCATGCTGCAGTGAGGGCAGAGGGGCAGAGGGGCAGAGGGGCATGCTGCAGTGAGGACAGAGGGGCAGAGGGGCATGCTGCAGTGAGGACAGAGGGGCAGAGGGGCATGCTGCAGTGAGGACAGAGGGGCAGAGGGGCAGAGGGGCATGCTGCAGTGAGGACACAGGGGCAGAGGGGAAGAGGGGCAGAGGGGCAGACTGCAGTGAGGGCAGGGCCTGGCCCAAAAAAGCATATATTACTAATGAAAATATAGACGATAAACAATAATATTGAAACTAGTTTAGGGCTATGTTAGGGCCGTGTAATTGGTCACACATTAATAATCATTAAATTGTGATTGCTCAAATTAATTATAAAGAGGTAAAACACAAAGAATACAATCTAAACATGCAGAAACAAACGTGAACCCGGTGGTGACTGTGGGGTGAGGAGGTCATAATTGTTTATGTTGATTGAGGCCAAGCTGGTTAGCTGTAGCGCTGGACCTGCCCTGTCTGACCTGTGTAAACCTGTTAGCGCTGTCCTGCACTGGCTCAGGTTAAAGTGATGTGCCCCAGGACCAGAAAAGCTGCTGTTAATCCTCCAGGCTGACTGTATTTGAGCCGCTGCATCTCTGTTTACTGTAAACGCTCCTTAAAACAAGAAGAGTTCAGCTTGGATGTCTTAACCCTGGTGTCATTTATCCGACTCAAACATATGGTCATGATGAACTGGGTCATAACTGAACTCAAGATGGTTTCCATGGAGATGTTACTGCTATGGCTATGTTCCTCAGTATCACATTAAAGAGGGGGTATTACACTTCTTTTGAGTATGAATTGCACACATTAAACACATTAAATATTTATGTCACCGTGAGACCTTTTATTGTTATGACGATATTCATACTTTTTGCTTTTTCAGCGTTCTCCGAGATAATACAACTGAAGGCACCGCTTTGTATGAAACTATGTTACTCAGGTTAGACTTTAATCTGAGCTTTGTTTTAACACAATCTGACCAGAAAGTTATATTTTAGCTGTAACAACAACATGTGAAATGATTTGTGCTGTTAAACAAGGAGCTCTTCAATAAAAATACAAGCTAGCTAGCATTAGCCAGCAGTTTTTTCAGTTAGCCATTTTCACCTTTTTGTTGAAAATCTAATTCCTAAACAGGACCACGAATGCTCATATTGATCACAAGCTCCTGAAAATGTGCCTTTTAAATCAATGTATATTTTCTTCTCAGACCTTTTCAGGCTGTTTGCATCCACAGCATTCCACTCCCAGTGTGACCCCAGTGTCACTGCAAAGTATCACCCACAGACTGTCTAAAGATGTGGATTAATGGAGAGTGACGTCACCCACAGCACTCAGCACTGCTCAAATGAATCTCGAGATGCTCACCATTACAGTGGCGAATTTGGAACCAGGTTCCATATTAGGAATATGATTTTTTTTGACGGACAAAACAGCGCATCATGCACAGTGGGTTTACACGAACATTTTAAGGCCAAAATAACCAGGCTCAGATAGGGACTGTATCAGACCATTGTGGTGAAGAGGGACCTGAATCAAAAGGCAAAGGTCTTGATTTACCGTCAATCTACGTTCCTCCCTTCACCTATGGCAGGGGTCTCCAACCTTTTTCCTCCTGTGAACTACTTTCTGTAAAACAAAAATGCCAGAGAGCTACTCATTTTAGCGGCCGCCAGAAATTTTGTAAATAGTTCGATGTCTATAAAACATAAAAACCCATTTCCAGTTATCACTGCACAAAATTATTTATCAAAAGTATACATTTAAAAAGGAAACAGGTATTTAATCTATCAAAGTTATTCAACGTAATATGTGTAATTCAGAAATCCCTTGGTGAGCTAGGAGGTGAAGAGCTACTGGCAGCTCAAGAGCAACAAGTTGGAGACCCCTGACCTATGGTCATGAGCTTAGTGCAATGACCGAAAGAACAGGATCGCAGGCACAAGCGTTGAAATGAGTTTCCTCTGCAGGGTGGCTGGGCGCTCCCTTAGAGACAGTGTGAGGAGCTCAGTCACACGGGAGGAACTTGGAGTAGAACTGCTGCTCCTCCAAGTTGAGAGGAGCAGCTGACGTGGCTTGGGCATCTGTTCCGGATGCCTCCTGGACGCCTCCCTGGGGAGGTGTTCCAGGCATGTTCCACTCAGAGGAGGCCCCAGAGAAGAGCCAGGGCACGCTGGAGGGACTGCTGCTCCTGTGACCCAGCACCGGATAAAGAGGAAGAAAATGGATGGATGACGAGGCTCACTGCAGCAGTTACAGAGAGAGAGGCGATAACATTCAAATGTAACTCAATGGGAGCCAGAGGCAGTAGGAGCCGGAGGAGCCTCCATGTTTTGGAACGCAGCGGTTAGCGTGTTAGCTATGTCCATTTATATATCCAGTCTATGGTATCAATAGAATATATCTGTATTAGGACTCAGTAAATCACACATACAGAATGTAGTAAACACAAAATAAACTCTAAATAACTTCAAACTTGTTTTAGCTTCTTCTTCTTTTTTTTTTTTTTTAATAGCTAACCTTTGCTTTGCACCCTGGTTTGCACTATTGCTACGGACCCTGACAATGTGTACATGTGAGGTCAAAACCATCAAGAAGCCGCTTCAAGTATTTGATGTCATCTGTCTAAAATGTATAAAGTAGTAAACATAGAGAAAGAAAAACATTAAACGAGAATGTGTGTCCTAAAACTTTGGCTGGTAGTGTATATTATAGACGTGGACAAAATTATTGGTACCCCTCTGGTAATAAAAGAAACATAAAAAATTTTCACGGGCAAAGTACATCAGTGTCAGATCACACCATCCATCAGTGTTTGAGCCAAAGTGGACTTCATGTGAGGACACCACTGCTGAGAGAAAATCATAAAAAAGTGAGACTAGAATTTGTCACAGTGCAGATTGACAAGTCACAAAGCTTCTGGGAGAATGTTCTTTGGACAGATGAGACAAAACTGGAGTTCTTTGGCAAGACACATCAGCTCTATGTTCACAGATGCAGTAATGAAGCAGACCAAGAAAAGAACACTGTTCCTACTGGGAAACATGGAGGAGGCTTGGTTTTGTTCTGGGGCTGTTTTGCTGCATCTGGCACAGAGTGTCTTGAATCTGTGCAAGGTACAACGAAATCTCAAAACTATCAATGTATTTTGGAACAAAATGTGTTGCCTAGTGTCAGAAAGCTCGGTCTCAGTCGTAGGTCATGAGTCTTCCAACCGGACAATGACCCAAAACACACAGATAAAGACACACAAGAATGACTAAGAACAGAACACTGGACTGTTCTGGAGTGTTCTTCTGTGAGCCCAGATCTCAATTCTACTGAGCATCTGTGAAATGAGCTGAAACATGCATCTGGAGAAGGATCCTTCAAACCTGAGACAACTAGAACAGTTTGCTCATGAGAAATGGGTCAAAATACCTGTTGACCAGAGCAGAAGTCTCACTGACAGTTACAGAAATCGTTTGTTTGCAGAGTTTGCCTTAAAAGGTTTGCAACAAAATATTATGTTAAGGGTAACATCATTTTTGTCCAGGCCAGTTTCATTATTTAGTTTTTTCTAATAATTCAGTTTAACAACAGGTGAAAAACAACGTTTGATTTTTGTTGGACAATTTTCAGTAATTTTTTATTTATTATTGCTTTTCTCAGTTTCAAGTTATTTCAGTGATTAGTGCTGATTTTTCTTTCATTGCCAGAGGGGTACCAACTATTTTGTCCATGACTGTATATGTACTGGGACAAGAAACATTTTACTCAAATACATGGGAACACAGACTGTAGAGTCCTTTTAAGTTGCTCATCTGCGTGAGTGTGTGGTGGTCTGACCTGAGGTGAAGAGCACAATGGACTTGAGGCAGGAGTACTCAGCCGTGTCAACCTGGAGAACCTTGAGCTTCTCCACCTGCTCCTGGAAAACCCGGATGTGGTCCATGAAGGCCACCACGCGCTCCGCAGACATGGGGGAAGCGTGCAGCCCGGCTGCGGCCAAGAGAGGGGCCACGTGCAGGGGCATGGAGCACTGAGCCGCATTCAGGACAAACAGCTCACTCCAGGACATCCGCAGCAGCGCCACCTACACACCAGTAACCATAAGTACAAGTAACATACTCAGTCCCACTATCAACACTTGGATTAACTCCTCATCTTGATTTATTCAGCTGAGTAGTGAGAGTATTAGATTTCACTTGTTTACAGATATACAGAACTGCTTTAAATGTATAACTCAAAGCTAAGTCAAAGTTAAATGGTGGCCAGTATAAGATGAGGTATTACAACACAAAACACCTGTGACCTTTGTAAAATGGTGTACTTTGTTTAGTGTACCTTGTTTTGAAAATGCTATGTTCGCTAAAAACAATGTATTAACATCTGTCATAGTTTTAATCTAATGTTTACATCTTATATGAAAATGTGTTGCTTGGGAACATGGGTGTTGTGGGCTTGTGGGTAAAGTCATGTAAGGATGGTTCAAATAGGGCCAAGGAGAGATTGCTACATTACTCAAACATGCATTGATGGAAATCTAAATCCTCAAGCAGGTTTTTGATTAGGGAACAACATCATAACATGTCAACTCAAAAAGTAGATTTTGCAGAATACAATTTCATTAAAGAAACACTTGATAACTTTTCTGCAACACCTGCTCATCTGCACAGAGATGTTATTATTCTGCCTGAAATCTTTTACAGTACATTCATGACACTGGTGTTTTTATTGCTTAAAAGTACCTTGTTTGTTTCTTTTATCTAATACAGACAATTACAGTGTAAATATGCCAGATTACAGAGGTGGGGACTTGCAAGTCATGACACAGACTCAAGTCAGACCTGAGTCATTATTTTTAGGGCTTGAGACTTGACTTGATAAAATGGACTTGGGACTCGACTCGAAAATATTTTTCGCTTTACAGTTGAAATATGCCGTGCTGAATTTTACAGGAACAAACTGGACCATGTCCCTTCCACTTCTCTATTTGTTACTTTGGATGTAGTAAGCTACAATACAATACAGTATTATTAATATATAATATTAATAAATAATATTACTACATAGAACATGATCCTTCCATTTCAGTGCAGACCACATGACAAAATATCTGGATTTTTAAATCTGAATTCTTTCTATTCTGACTGTAATGATTCACACTAAGATCTTGTCAAGACATTTAAAAAGGGAAAATCTCTACAACTCTTATATAAATATTCATATATAAATATACCATGACTTTTTAAATACAATGCAGCTTAAAAGTCATATAAATTGAAAAAATCTAAAGTCTTGATATGCCTCGAAGCTCAAAACAGATGACTTGGACTTGACTTGAACGTATTTGTATTATAGACATATTTGACTTGGGACTTGACTCAGACTTGAGGTCAAAAACTTGAGACTTACTTGAGACTTGTAAAACAACGCCTTGATCCCACCTCTGCCAGATTATACCAGACTCTTATTTCCATCTATTGTTCCCTCAGTTTAAAGCAATGCTGTGGAACATTCCAGGCAAAGTGGTAACATCTCAAACAGGTGGCAGGAAAAGTTCATCTTTTGCTTGAGTGATAGGTGTGTTGTGCTATGGTTCACATTTTGAAGTTACTATAGTTTCCATGCTCTTTTCATCCTACTGTCATGAGATTACTGTGGTCTGGTCATTTGCACACAACTCCATCTAATGTCTTCACTATACAAGATTAAGATCTAAGTCCCTGTGTTAGTGGGCACCATTACAAAGGAATACACTTCTGTGGTGTAAATAAGTGTTGGCCACTTGTTTTAACAACTTCTTTCAAAATGTACTAACTTTTCCTTATCACATTATTACATGATGAAACCTCAGCTGTGTTACATTTTAGATTATTATTACATACACTGCAGCACTGTTATGTGATTTTGGGTGTCCCTTCTTCTCTTGACCTGTAACCTGCCTTAGTGGGTCCTCTTCATCTCCATGATGATAAATAAAGTTTATTACAATATTCTGGAACTTTCTAAACAATAACCTCTCTGTGGAGACGAGCAGGTGGCAGACAATGTGCATTTGATCTGACAGATTTTTATTTATTTATTTTTTATTTATTTATTTCGGTCACAGGTATATTTTGACATTAATTCACAAACAGTGATATTTAACATACACAGACCGAAAAGGTGCAGGCTGAAGCTTAAGCTTATTATGCCTACCCTTTAAACATTAAACATACCCTTTTACCCATTAAAATCAAATTTCAAATTGTGACTTGGTTTAATGGCGTAGTACCTGTGCTAAATATTTATACTTTTACATCAGTTCAGTGGTGTTTTGTGAAAAGTAAAAAACAAAAAGTTGTGAAATAACTTTGAGCTCTAAAATGGAATCCCTCTACCTATGTCATCAACTGTCATCAATTCTATCCAAAATGCTAATAAATGTTTTGCCATTTATTTTTATTTGTCATAGCCTATATGTAATTGTAATTTGTAATATTTTTGGTCACTGTTAACATTACGGTTGCTAGGTAACATGAAACTACCTCTGCTCCATATCTGCTGCCTGTGTCCAACCAGGACGTAAAATTATACCTTTCACCAAAATTACACACTAGGAAAGCCTAGGCTTTTTTTTCTTTCTTTTTTTTGGTAAAATCTTAAATCTTATGATGTTACCTATATTTTAGAGAAGCAAAGTGTAACCTTCATATGCACTGTAACTTTAACAAATGTACTGTAAACATACATGGGTTTGGAGTAGATTAAAGCAGTGTAATGTTTCCTGCACTCTCCTCGTGTCCTGACATAACGGGCCCAGTGTGCAGGGCTGCAACCATTCGTTCTCTAATCGTGGCTGGTAGACTACAAAAATCATCATAGTTGTAATGTGATCATTGTAATCTCAACTATTACTGTATTTCAGATGACCTTTTTGTTTACTACTTTATACATTTTAGATACATATAGAAGACATCAAATACATGAAGCAAGATATATGGAATTATGTAACAAAAAATGTCAAGTATCCACTCTTTACTCTGTTGACAGCACTGTAAAATCTTAGCCTTTTCTCAGTGAGTTTCATGGTGAAATATGGAAATAACGGTTTTCACTTCACAGCTGTGCCTTGCAAAAGTGCAAACCAGGATTCAAAGCTAAAGTTGGCTAATTTTATTTCCAAATATATCAAAAATCTAAATCAAGTTTAGAGTCATTTTGACTGTATTTTTTGTTTGCTACATTCCACAGGTGTCATTCATAGATCTCATGGCTTCAGTGTGAATCTACAATGTAGCTAATCATAAAAATAATGACAAATAAATGAAAAAGTGTGTTGTGGATGTGTTGAATGCTGAGAGCACTATGACCCTGTGAGCCACAGACACAATCCTGACCTGATCCATGAGTTGCAGGTCTGGGAAAAAGGGTATGTTCTTGGCCCACTCCACGGCAGAGAAGAGGAGGCGTGCGGCCAGCTCGCAGATGTTCTCGATGCCCATCAGGTTGTTTCCCTGCATGCACTGGGCGGGGTAGCGGGAGGCGGGGTAAGGCTCGGCGCGCAGCAGCAGGGACACAAAGCCGGACAGGTATGGCTGAGAGCCGTAGGCCTCGGAGCTGCTGGAGAGATACTGCCCCGGGCTGCTCTGGGAACTGGAGGTACGGCCACGCTGCACCGCTGCAACACACCACGCACCACAGGTTTTACGCTCAATGGTTTCCATGGCAACAACATCAGAAATAAATACAGGAAGTTTCAAACAGTATACATATACAGTATATATATATATATATATATATATATTATTTTTTTTTTGACAAATTAAACATTAATTTAATAAAAATAAATAAATAAATAAAGCTATTGTCATCCATTTTTACTTGTCATCCATTTTTATTTGTCTCGTCATAATTATTAGCAACGACTGAGCCATTCAGACACATTTAGGGCCTTGTTAACATAACAGCTGCAGGTAACAATTATGGAATTAGCTGTACGAATACGCTACTTCTGCAGCCCATGGCCAACCAAGAAGTCAAATGATAAACTTCACAGAAATAATCATTTAAAGTGTTAACTATTTGTTAGCTACATTAACTATTTGTTAGTGAAAACGTACTAAGCTAAGCTATAAATTCATTTTATGTAAAGTCCCTCTAAGCTTGGTTTCTTCTACTATGGCTATGGTTGAGGGCCGTAAGCCTCGTGTGAACAAATTATAATAGTTTAAATTAGAATGAGATTTTAAGGTTCATTTTAAGTAAAGTTTAATTGCACAATAACCCTGCTTTGCCAACTCTGCCAAGCACAAAAATCAGGAGTGAACTTATTTCATAATAATCTTAAAAATAGCAATTTTACAAAATCATGATTATTAAAGCACACCTACACTTTTCAGAGCTTTTAACCATGCTATAATCATTTGCCCCCTCACTGACCTTCTGAAGTTGTATTTGGAGTGATTTGTGCATGAGTAATCTTTAGTCTTATCTTTAGTCTTATTTTCAAGACAACATTTTGCCAATCAACTCACATTTTCACCTCCACACACCAACTGGGACGTATACACTTCATGGTTCAGTTTTATCTTCTTAAATTGGTAGTATACGTAGCAGCACCACATCGCTATTTTGGTACGAATGAAAAAAAAAATCCACTGTGTGATGTTCAGCTATCCACAGAACAGGCTGACTGCACATGGTTTTCAAAGATGGAAGTAAGCAAACTTGTTTCTTTTATTAAGTTGAAGATGAATATTGTGATATAAAATGTGCAAATTATAACATGATGATCATGGGTGTCAGAGATTTGAGCACAATCATTTCAACTTTAAATTCTACTGTTTGGATTATTGTGGTTAGAAATGTTTATTTATAATGTTTTATAATTTATACATAACCACTCACACCAGGACCCTTCACATTCATTCACACTTTTTTGGACTATAAATTGGATTACTTAATTTGATTCTTCTTAATTCTTCAGTTACATTTGTATAGACATCTTATCTCATTTTAATAGATAAAATTATAATAAGAGTTTAAAGCAGATCTATTGTGCTTGTGTCTGATATACAGTGATAATCTATGACACCCATGGATCATTGTTATAATTTGGACATTTTAAATCGCAATATTCATCTAAATAGACATAATAAAAGAAACAAGTGTGCTGATGTCTGTGTTAAACATACATCATCACAGCAAAGCGTTGCATGCTGTGGGCTCCTCATGTGGATATCTGAACGTCACACCAAAGCAGAGCATTTCTTTCATTTCTACCAAAATGACTACCCGTAGTGCATAGGATGGGCAGGAGATGGTCACAAGATGTTCCCATTTGTTATCTTTGAACATGGTTGCAGATGTCATAAAACGTTAGATTACTGTTCTGAGATTTGGTCATGTGCTGCTGTGTCGAACACAAAGGAGCTGCAAATGGTCTAGAATAAGGCAGCTCGATGTGCTCTTGGATGTACATGTAGAACAAATGTAAACTGGACACATTCATTGTTGTCCTGGTTAAAGGTAAAAGAGAGATTCACAGCTTCTCTGCTAAATCTGACAAGAAACATTAATAACTAAATGACCAAATATGCTTTATCAAGAGCTCTGCTTTAGTTCCAGTGGGCACCAATATGAAACAAGACCTGGCACAGAGGGCAGATTCAAATAAAATAAAGTAAAAACAAACCATGGAATGAGCTCTGTAAAATACAAACCAAAAATACAAACCAAAGTCTGCTGGGAAGAATCTACCAAGAGATATTTTTGCAAATATTAAATGTCTATATATATATATATATATATATATATATATATATATATATATATATATATATATATATATATATATATATATATATATACGTTGCTGAATATTAAACCTAAATGGTTAAATGAACTTTATTAATTCCTCAGTGCTCATCACAATTATTGGTCAGCCAGATAATATTGAGATCCCTATAAGAGTAAGGAGACAAAGTAAAAAGTACCACAATGATTTTCAACACACAATAAGAGCTTCTTTTTTATGAACATGTTATATTAACATGTGCTGTTTTGTATTTTGTATTGTTTGTATTATTATTTTGTATTTTGTATTTTTTGTAAATTGTATTTCCTTTGGGATAAATAAAGTATTTATCTAGCTATCTATGTGATGTTACACTAGTTTTCATATAGCCAAACCATTATTCAGGAAAAGTACATGTTAAAAAAAAAAAAAGTTCATGTAATTTTCTTCATTTTATATGTAAAATGAATTTGTATCTTTGCAAAGCTTTTGGGGGCAGGAGTGCTACTTGGATATGTAAAAATTGTGCAGAATTCTCCTTTTGGTGCTCTTCAGTGTAGGGACCAGTCTCAAATAAAGAGTAGGAAAACAAAAAAACTCAGGCACTCAAAAAGTACAAAATATTTTTGTTTTGTTTTGTTTTATTTTGTTTTTCTACTTTGAATTTGTATCTTCACAGACTGTAGGGAAAAACACTTCACCCTCACCATGACCTTAGCACGACTCACGAGTCAGGAGGCATTCATGTGCACTTGTGTTTATGAAGAGCTTTTGAAACTGTGAAACATTAGAATAGACAAAAACTAAACTCAGGTCAGAGTACAGTTTATACAGATAGAAATCCAGAAAAATCCATACTATTAAAAAAAAAAACATGAGTCACTAATTGTTCAGAGTAATTATTAAGCCATTTAGTATTTTTAGAATACTTTTTTGTGTATTCAAAACGATCTGTCAGTACATTTTGATTTGAAAATAAGAAGAAACAAATATACAGAAAAATGCATTCCTTGGCCCTGAATCAGCTAATGATAATCAAAATAATGTTTCTACGTTTTACTCATGGTCATTTAGTTGAAGTCTATGGATGTTTGAAGGGAAACAGGGGAGAGGTAAAAATGTTATATTTAGAGAGATTATTTTGAAACTTGTAGTTTACTCACATAAAAAGTAAGAAATAAATGTATACACATTTTTTATCATGTAACATTTTCATATTTAATAAAAAAAATGTGTGTAAAATGACTCAAATCGACCATTTTTGGAACATTCAAAAAAGGAACATGAAAACAACAAATTTAAATTTCTTGCTTCTTTTTGTTGCTATATTAGATACTAAAACATATACAAAGGGGATTTTGTAGGGAATATCAAACATCCGGTATGTTTTGTAAGTGATTCAGTGGCCTATTATTAATTTACATGTTTTTACATGTTAAATGTGTGTAGACTAGGATAGCCCATTTTAGTTCGGCCTATAATCTTTTATAAACTCAATGGAAACTCACTCCATGTTTTCCACATTCCCAGGCAAAGGGAAATATGTAAGAATAAAATAAAGGCTGCAGAGTTGAGCGCGAGTGCAGACAGCGCGGAGGGGCTGACCGCGGAGTGATCTGCACTTGTAAACAGACATAATCGGCTAATTTATTGGAGCATACGAGGAGTAAAGATTGTTTCAGTCTCTTGCGCTGCTGTAGGGGAGATACATTATAACATTGAAACCGTAAGATTTTTGGACAGTTAAAGCACAAGCTTGAACACAATTACAAGCTTTAACTGTGTTCATCGGATTGGATTTGTTTCCAATCCGCTGAACACAGCGCGTCACCAACAGCTTTACAGACAGGCACCTGATTTTCCTTAATCTTTTCAGAGAGCATTTAATGAATATTATATAAATAAAAGATACAATAGTTTATATATGTAACACGAGTCTTGTGCGTGACTGGCGTATGACCCGCGCAGTCGGTCTGAGTCAGGCCCGTAGCGTGAACTGACCCGAGCCGAGCCAGGGCAGACTGTCGCTGGAGAAGGCGCACATTAGTAAAAGATCATTTCACAGACTGAGCTCCGGGAGGATTTGATGCGTTTTAATCCGTGACCTGAGATGCACTGTGCGCGCCCTGACGCACTCGCGGCTCTGTGGGACCTCTCACCGGAACACACGCACCCAACTTCACTTATTCATTCAGAAATACACAGGACTATTTCTCCTAATGTAGCCTGCCTTTTGTTTTGTTTTTTGTTTGTTTGTTTGTTTTTTCAGATGGAACTTTCAACAGTACTGTTACACTTATATGTCCTTGTGCGTCACGGATAAAATAATGTTTATTTTTAATGACAAAATACATGTATAATTTTAATTAGTTTAGCTAATTTGGTTATAAAACGTCTAAAGCGGCAAAAACTCAGTGAGTGTGTGATTCGGGGGCGTTCGCTCTGACAGGACATGAAGTAGCCGAGCTGTGGAGACGCGAGGACAAAGAGCGGCTCCACATGTTCGGTGAAGCGCTCTTCTGTGGCTCTCGGTACCGCTCGAGACGGTGTAAAAGCGTAAACATCTGCGTAAAAGATAACACGGTGCTCGTGTACTTTTTCCACATAGCGGGTGTGGGTTAAAGGTGTAGAAGACACCGCTGTTTCTTGGACCTGGAACTTTTTCCTTCGGAGCGTTCACAAAGTTGTCCGAGAAGAGCGCTCTTACCTTCTCTCCTCATTCCCACTTTGATGCACTTCTTGAGGCGGCAGTACTGGCACTGGTTCCGGTGGTGCTGGTCAATAGGACAGTCCCGGTTGCCGCGGCACGTGTATGACAGGTTCCTCCGCACGGAGCGTTTGAAGAAGCTCTTACAGCCCTCACACGTGAACTGCCCATAGTGCTTCCCACTGGACTTGTCACCGCACACCATGCAGTCCACGTTGGGGATTTTGTCCCCGGAAAGAGCGTCCGTGCCTGGGGTAGATCCGCTGGGCGTCCCAGGGCCCCCCGCGGACTCCGGGCCGCATATCTGCAGCTGCGCGGCGGGGTCCTGGATGTTCTCTTGCCACTGGTTTACTACCATTGCCATGCTCTCTCAGTCCTCCGTGTGTTCGTCTCAAAGAGTCACAAAATCCGTGTGTGGTTCCTACTCTGCCAGCCTAAGTCCCCGTGGTTCGTCTAAACGTGATTCAAGGTTTGAGTGTTCAGAAAACTGTTGTCTTGTAGAGTTTGAAAACCATATTTCAACAATAAAAACGCAAATGTAAGTCTACTGCTTGCTAAGATGAAATTTCACAGACCAATATTATGCTTTCTGACGAACAAAATTTCAAATAATGATCAATGTGTGTTATCATTTCCATAATCTACCCCAAAAGCACAATATTTCTTCTTCTTCACCTCAATTGAAATAGACTTAATGCATTCTGGACTTTTTAATTTTGACTCATCTAGTGACGCATTGGACACTTTAAATATCTGAATCCTTTCCTTATTTCAAGCCCATTATTGTTTCTTCAGGTCATCTTGTTTGAGAGAGGTGGCTGAGATGTGCTGGATTTTACCTCGTGGGTGAAGTCTGAAAGGTCTTGTCATGATCAAACGTACAAGCCGCAGAGTATCTACATTCGCAGTTCTTACATTGTTGAGTCTTCTTCTTTTCTGAGTTCCGAGTTTGTGGCATTCAGGCAAAAAGCTTTATCCATTGCGATTGCCAAAGATCAATTCAAGACTGCCCGTTTCTGAATTCAGATCTTTCTAGTGCACAAATGGGGCATCCAAGTGTCTTCAATCTTGCAATAAAATCTTGCATCTTTTACTGTTTAAACTGTAACTGTTTTTTGAATTCTCTCTCCAGTAAAAAAATCTGTTAATATTTTAGAAGAAAAAAAATCCACCATTTCAGTCCATTCTGATTGGATTTATAATTAGCTAAGTCTCATGGGCAATGTGATGACCAATTATGTGTTCAAATTAATCTTCAATTAATCTGGAGGTTGTGACTTGGGAAAATAGAAAGGCTAATATCAAGAGATAAAAAAGAGATTTCTGAAACCTTCATTGAAATAAAAGCAAACACTAGGCCCATTTGAATGAATCATATTTTTGCATCAGTATATGTGTGTTATTTAAGGTAATGTACCAGATTTAACTTAAGAACAGGACAGAAAAATAGCAGGTTTATTATAAATGTTTTTGCAGTGGTCCAAAGTTATTCTACCTTATGCATTCTGACATTCATAAGCTTCACCACCATGAGACCAAGAGTGGAGTTTCACCATGATGGTGAAGCTAACAACAACTACTGTATTTAAGCGAGTGGCTGATTGGGACAGTAGGAGAGCGACTGGAAACAGTGGTCTGATTGGACAGATTCATGCTGCTGAGGGCTGCTTTCCAGAGCGTTCATTTTTTGTTAAAGGGTTTAAATTTGATTTATGAGTTAAACCCCAAAGCGTTGGGGCGTGCGCCTGTTTGATGGCCGTTACACATAATTATTAGCCCATTGACTGACGAGTGCACGTTATTGGGTCAACGCATTTCATTACAACAGGCAGTCAGATTTACATCAGATCTCCAGATTTTGATTTAGGCACACTAACATAAACTAGGAATCTATAAAAGTATTTTCAACAGTATATAATAGAGGAAGGAGGTAGGTCATTTAAAAAAAAAAAAATCTAAGGCTGCTTTAAGGACAAATGGCGTTGACTTTGAGTTGTACTGTCCACTCCAATCACGGTGACCCGGTGTAGCGTTTTCAAACTACCCCCTTCAAAAACTAGAAAAGCACTCAGAGAGCGCAGACCTCGCCAAGGACTACCCCCATTTTTATATAATTGATGATAAAATCAGTCCTTCTGGATCAGTCCGGATCAGCCTTTTATGAAGAAGATCCAGATTCATCCACCCTGAGTGAAATTTCATGGGGTTGTCAATAATAAACCGAATATTGAGAAACTAACATTTTGGCCCCATTTACCACAGATGTTAACTAAAATTTCAAAGCGATCCAGAATCCAGGATTTCTTCCGGATCACCCCAAAATGAAATCAGTTTTTCCTTTTTACATTTCCAACAAATCCTGAAAATTTCATCAAAATCGGTCCATAATTTTTTGAGTTATGTTGCTCACAGACAAACAAACAAACAAACAAACAAACAAACAGACAAACAGACAAACACCGGCAAAAACATAACCTCCTTGGCGGAGGTAATTACCGGGGGTTAGGGTTAGGGGTTGGGGTTAGGGTTAAGGGGGGTAGCTTGAAACCATTTTGAAAAATTACCGGGGGGGGTAATTTCAAACCAGCTCAAGCTACCCCCCCTAGTACCCCCAAAACCGGGGGTAGTTTGAAACCTTTACACCGGAGTCAAATAAAGTCCAAATCCAACAAAATGTAATGTAGCACAGGGTCTACGGTGGAACAGAAACAGCAGTGAGAGTAGCACATGCCACTCACTAATATGTGCTTAGACTGGGATGTAACAGGAAACTATTTAAATCTCAAGTAGAGCTATTCATTGTGTCCCACAGTCTTCACACACAAATCATTTACCACGTATTTTACCAAAACTGAAATTATAGCTGGAAAACATGTTTATTTGGGCTTATTATTCAGGCTATCCTGTGTTTTCTCTTTGCACTAGAGTGTGTTTAGTCATGGATCAAATATCTAAGTTCTATGATGACTAAATTTAGATGCTAAACCAAAGAAATGCTACTGCTTTTCCTAGGATGTCAGACAGTACGGAATAAAATTGACCAGTCTCCATTAAGACGCACAGGAGATGTCACCGGGCTAACTTGTGGAAAGGTGACCCCCACTCACGGTATGAATGCATGTATTGGAAGGTCATTTTAGAAATAAAATACCTGCAAATGAATAAATGAAAGGCAGATGAGACTTAAAGTGTGAAACATTCGGGACAAAGCCATTATTATTACACCTGAACATTTGCATACTGCACTTTTAAAGTGCCCATATTTCTGATCTATATTATAATGTTTTCTCATTAAAAACAGACCTGGACTTGTGTTTTGTTTCATTCACATGTTTAACACACAAACCCTGCACATTTAAGCTGAGTTCATTTCTCTCATATGGAAAACACTCCACCTTGTGATGTCATGTGGTAATACAGGAAGTGCTACACTGTTTTTAAAATGTATACACCTTCATGGAACCATTTTGAATGAAATCGGCTTTTGAATTGCTGAACATTACAGAACTTAAGGTTAAAGGTAGTGGCTTACTGCTTCATGGTGTCAAAAGGAGCGTTTTTGGAGGTTGGAGAACATTTTGGAGAGAGTAAATAATTTTTTTTTTTTTTTTGTTAAAGCTCTCAGTTTTGCGTAATATAGGAGGACACAATTTTAGTAATTCCATTTCAGAAATATAGCTTTTCTGGCCAATATGGGTCTGTCGGCATTATGGTGACTTATTAAGTCGTACTATCCATGATATGGGTTGTCTGTCAGTTGTCAGTGGGCAATGTAAAGATGACAGATGTCCATTCTGTCTGTCTGTCTGTCTCTGGTCTCTGTCTGTGGGTTCTGGGTTGGTCATTCTCTGCCTGTGTCTGTCGTTGGTCTGTCTGTCTGGTCTGTGGTCTGTCTGTGGGTCTGTCTGTCTGTGGGTTCTGTGTGTGGGTCTGTGGGTCTGGGTCTGTGGGTCTGGTCTCGGTCTGGTCTGTCTGTGGTCTGTCTGTCTGTCTGTGTGGGTCTGTGGGCTGTCTGTCTGTCTGTGTGGGTCTGTGGTCTGTCTGGTCTGTGGGTCTGTGGTCGTCTGTCTCTGGTCTGTCTGTGGGTCTGTTGTGGTCTTCTCTCTGTGAGTTCTGTCTGTGGGTCTGGTCGTCTGTCTGGTCTGTCACAGAGTGTTGTCAGTGTCACAGAGAGAACTCAGCCTAAGGATGAAGGTTTGTGTGTTTAAAAATGGTGATTTAAACAGAACACAAACCCAAGGTTCTGATCGAAGGAAACTACATCTACAACATGCAATATTTTTACAATCTGAAATGAATTAATGAGTATATGTTTAGGTAAAAAAAAAAAAAAAAAAAAAAAAAAAATATATATCATATATTATAAATATATAATTATAATATAGAATATATATAGAGAGAGAGACACACTGAAGAGAGTCTGGCGAGTTTGGCTCATTTCTTGAGATCATGAATTATCAAAAATTTTACATGGAACAATGTCTCCAAATACTACCTGTATTGCATTGGTTGTCTCACAACAAAATGACATTTCAAATCTCCAAACCACCTGTTTTCATCATTCTCACTGTAAAATGTCTTAGTACATGTTCAAGTGTCAGTTCATTTTGCAAATGGTTCTGTACAGTTCCAATGAGTCCAGTTACACACAATGAGAGTGCCACGTTTAGCTACATTGTTCTCCCAAAAATGTAGCTTTGATTTCACTGTCTGAGAATGTCATGCCACTTCACAATAGCGCTTTAACTTGTCAAAATTAGTCAAGAACATGATACTATGAACACCATATATAATATAATATATAATTATAATATATATATTTTTTTTTTTTTTTTTTTTTTCTTTTGAACATTTGATACATTCATGACAAATATTGACAGTTAGGTGAATTTACAGTTTTTTTTTTCTGTTGGTTTGGCTCATTTCTTGAAACAGAAATTACATTCTTAAAACTATAAAATCATTTGGCCAAACAGTCTGATAGTTCTGCACAACATTACAGCTCACAGCAAAAGCTCATATCTCTACTTTGGCAATAAAGTACAAGATTGTAATAAAGTTATAATAATGTGGTAATTACTCTTTTAATTGTACAGTTGTGCTCTTGTACTAGACTAGTAGAGTGTCCACTGATCAACAGGTTGACAGTGCAATTCCAGTTTCCAAAGATGAATGCTGTTGTTATGTCCTTGGGCAAGACACCTAACCCACCATACCCCCATAGTGTCTCCCCCAGCTGTCCCCCAGTGTCTGCAAATGCAGTGTGTTGTGTGTGCGTGTGCGTGTGTGTGTGTGTGCATATGTGTGCGTGTGTGTGTGTGCATGTGTGTGTGTGTGTGAAATGTGTGTGTGTGTGTGTGCGTG